TACATACCAGGACGATATCCTTCCAACTGAACCCGCACAGTGTCCTCTACTCCATCGAATTCCGACTTGTTCAAGTTCGCCTGTCTCTCCACCTCCGACTTGAGGTCGTCGTAATAAGTTTTCGTCTCACCGTTGTCATATTCCATGTCGAACTGCTCTTTCAACTTTCTCTTCTTCTCTAGAAGATTCTTCTTCTCCTCGATATCGTCCTTCGTCGACTCCTTCGGTGCTTTAGTCTCGTGTTTCTCCCCAGTTTCCAGGTCCTCGAAATCTCCGTAGACATCATCGTCCAAGTCGTCTAATTTCAATAGCTCTTCCGCGTCCTCCGATTCCTTCCATTTTCCCGTTACGAAACGGTTCACGACGAGCAATTTGTTCTCCTCTTCCAACCAATCTCGTGGTTCTTTCGAAAAGAACACGCATTCCTCTTGATTCTGCAGCTCTCGCTCTTGGATCTTACGCTTCTGCTGCTCTTGCACCACACGGAAAATGCCGCCGATCTCGTTCTCCTGGTCCTCCACCGCGGCCTCTTTCTCTTCCTTTTCTTCCCCATCCTGCATTTCTTCAACGAGATTCCTCTTGTCGACCACTCCGTACACTAACTTCATCAAGTTCTTGTTATCTCGTTGACGGTCCTCGAACGCGTTCTTAGCTTTCTCGGACAAATTTGTTTTCCACTTTAATTCGTCCACAACCTTCTCGCTCTCGTCGTCCTCTACCGCGGTATCATCATCATCGGTTAGGTCCTCCTGCGATGATCCATGTTGAGACAGATTCGTTGCGCTTTCCTCATCTTCGTCCCCGTCTCTCTCGAGTCCAGCGCGCGAATCTTCGTCGCTAAGTTCGTCAAAGCTATCGTTCTCGCTGTCGCTGTTCGATTGTTTGTTACATTTGCTCGTGCTAATCAAAGAATCGAGCGCTTCCGTGATTTTATTCTTGATTTTTATATCAGACTCTTTACTCGTCGAATGATAAACTTCCGTGTTACCTGACGCGTCTGTCTGTTCATTAACGACCGCAGACTTATGTTTCTCCTTGTCTATATTGTCGTCCGAGTCTGAATCGTTCGACGAACTCTTTCTCTTCTTCCGCTCCATCATTCTAGATCCGACAATATTCTTTTTTCTTTTTACACCGTTTCCATTCGATGCCTCCTCGTTCTCGCTTTCTTCTTTCAATTCGTCACTGTCCGTACTGACGTTTTTATCTTCGTCGTCCAGTTCATTGTCACTTTCCTCGCTGTCCTGCGAATCAGGGAAGACAACTTTTCTTCTAACCCGACCGTTGTCGATCACGGTTTCGCCAACGTAATCGCCAAGAGCTTCCTCGACGTCCTTTGCCTTAATCGGAGCAGAATCGCTGAACAGCTGCAGCTCGCTATGTTGTAATTTTTGATCAAGGGTTTGCCGAGTATCCATCAGAGCTCCAACCAAACCTGTATCCTCCTCCTTGTGAGAATGGCTGCCACCCAACTCTACATAAACGGCGTCCTTGTCATAAACTATCCCACCCACGCCTGAGAAAGGTGCGTAGATCAAACGTTCCTTTTCTACCAATGCACGTTTTTTTAGCGCCTCTGGCAGAGGGCAGGGATCCGGAAGAAAACTGAGATCTTTAATTTTCAGATCACCACATCCAGGAATGTGTATAGACGTTTCCTTGATTAAAGGAACTCCCCTCACATACCTGCAAAAAACGGTACAATATAGAACTCACGATAACTTTATAGAGCGTATAATCTTTACTTACCCATACAAACTTATAGTTCTATCAGTTTTTGGATTTTGTCTTATTGACTCCGGAGGTGTTAAGTCTTCCACTCTATCCGCCAAAATATACGGATGCGTACCACGCCAAGTCAGAGGCCTGAACTTCATCACAGATACGAACCTAGCCAAGTTTTTTACCTCTGTTCGTAAATATTCTCCATGAAGCATCCCGGATAAATAGAACAACTTTGCTCCAGCATAAACTTCGGTCCAAAATCTATGTTTCAACGTTTTCTTAGTCCTTTTTAATTGTTTCGCATTTTTTATTAAATCTAAATGAGTTAAAACACCCATGATCCTGGGCATTCCGTGCACCTGACAGATATTCAAAAATTCAAAGATTTCCATTTCAAAACCAAAGGAGCCATCTATTAGGAGCAAAACCAAATCTGCCACTTTTGCTATATCTATCATGCAGTTGATATCATTGTTACATTCCATAAATGTAATTCTTCTCTTTTTGCTGGAAACAACAGTAACCGGACCTACTAT